GCTTTACCACTTGAGTCACAGCACCGTTTCCAGGCTTTTCTGTGATTAATGGAAATAAGAGTCGCTCAGACTTTCCTGACTGGACTGGCTTTGAATCACAATCCTCAGAACTCAGTTTCCTGAGTAGCTAGGATTATAAGTGTGAGCTACTGGCACCCAGCAAATTGTCACATTTTAAAATCTATGTATGATAAGAAGTAAAGTTGGCTTAAAATTTATTCATTCATTGAATAATTATTGAAATGCTATGTACCATGTCCTACGTTGGTATTGGCTATCATAGAGTATATACAGATTTGGTTCCCACCCTAGAATATATAGGTACAAGGTGAAGGGAATGGAGTATAGTCATAAAATTATTATAGAAATAGAACAGTAAAGCACAGCTAGAACAACTGTGAGACATGGCTGAAAGCCTGGTCCCCAAATGTCTGAAAAATCATGAGCAAAGTGGAGTTGTGGCTCAAAGTGACAGAGCAACAGCTTCAAGCAGAAAAAACTGTGAGGCAGAACAATCTGGTTTCATTTAGTAATTTAAGGAAGAGACATTGTGACTGGAAATTGTGTATTGGAGGGAGAAGCAGAGACCACTGAATAAGGAGAGAGTCAAGGCCCACATGTAGCCTATGAAGGCCAAAGTTCGTTAAGATCTTCAAGTTCATTGCAAGGCTGTGAAGGGGTTGTCAGCAGTTAGTAATGTGACTGGATGCATGCTTTATGAAGAATAAATAGAATAGAGGTGAATGGCAGCAGGGACCCGGGTGACCAGATGGAAGTGATAGAGTTGAGAGAAATGATGGAAGCTTGTATTGTGGCAGGGAAACTATTCAAGATAATTTTTGGCAAGAGAAACAGACAAAGAAGGTAATGAGATGAATGTCGGGGGTAACACCTTGAATTCTAGTTTGCAGAAACAGCAAACAGGAACAGGTTTGGGTGTGAGAAAAGAGAGCTTAGGAGGCATATGCTTAGGTAGGCAATAGTATGCCAGTTCTGAAGCTCAGAGCAGAGATGTGAGCTTAAGATCCAAATGTAGGAACCGTTGGAGCTATATATTAAGCCCTGTGAAAGTATTTGGTTTGCTGAGGAGAAAGCATCAAGAGAAGAGGACCCAAAACTGACTTTTTTTTTGAGATTTGCATGTACAGACTGTAGAAGAAGAGCCTGAGAACTAGAATAAGAAAGAGTGGCCAGAGAGGCTGGGGGAGAGCAGGAAAAGCATTGTATTCTAAACTGTAGGATGGAGAAGCAAGTTGACAAGAAGAGCCTTCTCTCTGGGGCTAAGGATGGTAAGAAGTCAGATGACAGACTGGTTGTGAGTAGGTAGTCTGCTGCACTGGCCAGGAGAGTCACACCAGTAGAGTGGGTGTGGTTAGAAGCTAGAACTGATGGTTTCAGAAGAAAAAAAAAAGAGGTAAAAAACAGCCAGGATCAACAACTGTTTGTAAGCTGTTAGAGGAGTAGAAAGAACAATAGATTAGTAGCTAATGAGAGGTGTGAGATCAAGAGAAGGCTGCTGTTTCTTTTAAATGGAGCCACAGACCATGATCTCAAATGTAGAGTCTCAAATGTAAAGTAGATATGGTACAGGCTACTATAATCAGGTTCAAATGAGACAAATTGATTTTTACCTCATGGAACAATCCAGGACACATGGAGTAGCTCTGATAGCCTCCTGAATGTGGTTCACCCCTGACTATGTCTAGGAGACAATATCACTCATTGTCTTTTTCCAGCCGATGGGACAGGGAAAAATCTAGGGTCCATGGCATTGTACTTATGAGGATGACCAAAATCAGAATACATATTTTTATACTTGTCACATTATCTAAATTTAATCATATGGTCGCATCTCATCCTAGCCTCAGTTAGGGGGAATGTCAAATGAATATAAAAATGAGGTTACTAGCCGGGAACCAGTGGCTCACACCTGTAATCCTAGCTACTCAGGAGGCTGAGATCTGAGGATCAAGGTTCAAAGCCAGCCAGGGCAGGAAAGTCCATGAGACTCTTATCTCCAATCCCAGGAGACCGGAATTGGCTCAAGTGATAGAGCATTAGCCTTGAGCTGAAGAGCTGAGGGACAGCACCCAGGCCCATAGTTCAAGCCCTATGATCAAAAAAAATGTGTTTACTATATAATATATAATATTTCAAGATACCTTTTCAGTACACACCTTGAAGATAGCTATTTAATTATTAATTATGAATTCTATATAGCAACTGGGAAAACATTATCTGCTAGGTAAACATACACATTTAGTATAATTATATTAAAATATTCAGGGAAAATTTAAATAATCATCCATGATGTGATATGGGTAGTGCTCTGATATTTCTCCCTAGAAATGAAAAGAGTATCATCTTAAATGAAAAAGTCTGTGATGAGAGAATTATGTAATAGAAATTTAAATCATTTAATTGTCCTAGATAATTGGCCATTTTTGTGCTTATTTAAAGAAAATAAAAGTTTATACCTAAACAAAAATAATTGGTTACTTAGGAAAGATGGTGGAACTGGGTTCTGGGAGTCTATTTCTGCCTCAAACTATGAAGCACTTTGGTCCAGGAAGGAGTTTACAATATTTTCATCTGTTTCTAAACCACATGAAGTGATTAGCAAATATTTGGTCCCCAGTAAGTATTTGGTAAAGTGAATTGCTTACTAAAAGTAGTAATTCAGTGGTACGCTCTGAACAACACACTGCCAATATTTTTCCCCTCTTCCTTCCCTTTTTCTCTCCTCTTACCTCTCTCCTTCCTCTCACAGTGCTCTCCCTCCTTCTCTTTCTCCACTATCTGCCTTTCCTCCACTATTTTCTCTTGGTATTTATACTACTTCCTAGGATAAGCATGCCAAAGAAAATGTAACCTTTTCTTTCAAGATTTGCTTCAAAAGCTAAAATATAATATCAAGAAAAAGAAGATTTGTTAGTTTTATTTGGATTGCTCTTTTGCTCTGTGGTTGTAGTTGATATTTAACAATATGCTTTGGGCAGCTCAGTACATGCCAAGTTGATATGTCTTTTATTCAACTGAGGACTGACTGATGATTGTGAAAAGTAACTCAATGTAGCCAGTATAGCTATTGCCCCAACTGGTATTTTTAATCTTCAAATTGTTAAACACATTCTGATGTATCTTAGAAATAGGAACTAAACAGTGACTTTACTATAAAATCACTAGCTTAATCCTGCTTAATTCCTATTATTCCAGTGAGTATGTCATTTACATTTTTCCTTTGCTCAGAAAATATTTTACAACGAAATTAGGATTAGAAAGAAAATCGTAGGAAAATGAGATTTATTTCTGAAATGTGTACCACAATATGTAAGCTAAGAAGTTAGTTAAAATGTCTCTGTGTTTGCTTGGCATAGCAGCTCTCTAACTGCTTAGAGCATTATTAGTGGGATCTTTAGGTTCCTCAAAATCTAAACATAGATCTTCCCTACAACCCAGCCATACCACTTGTGGGCATCTGTCTAGAACATCACAAGCTGGGATATGGTAAAGACCTTTGCATATCCATGTTTGTTGCTACATGATTCACAATAGCCAAGCTATGGAACCAGCTTAGATGCTCCACAACAGATGAAGGGATTAATAAAAAGTGGTGCCTGTACACAGTGGAATTTTACTCATTCGTTCAAAGACTAAGATTGTGTCATTTGTCAGGAAATGGATGGACCTAGTATAAACTATGCTAAGTGAAGTAAACTAAGCTCAGAAAAACAAAACAGTGCATGTTTTCTCTCATATATGGAAGCTAGATCTAAAATATAACTGGACATGATAACCAATATGGGACTCTAGGCATTCACACACAGTCATACTAAAGATTACCCTGAGAAGAGCAACACAAAGGTGTAACTTCTCTGAACATTTAAAATACTGTTTATTGAAATGAACTCCTCCAGGAAATGGAAATATGTCTTTATTATTGGTGGTGGTGGTAGTGGTGGTTATATTTCCTTTGGGTTTTTTTCTCTGGGAATGGTAAGGTGGGCACAGAAAGGGAGGAAGGAAGAAATAAACTCATGCTATTCAGTATACACTATGTGGAAGGTGGGCAGGGATGGGAAGTAGAAGGAAGGGATAACATTGTCCAAAAAAAGAAATGTACTCATGACCTAACTTATGAAATAGTAGCCCCTCTGTACAATGTATTAATAACAATAAAATCATTTAAAAAATCTGCTTTGAAAACAAATCTATCATCAGAAGAGAGGAGAATGTCAGATCTTTAGGTGTGACCTTGTCACTTGACACATAGGGAAACTGAGGCACAAAACCCCTAGCTTGGCTGTCAACAGTTTTAGAAGATGGTAGCTATTACAACGTGTGCTTTTAGGATTGCTGTCTGTTATGATTTTTGTTCTGAGTTCCCTGTGAGATACAAGACAAACATCTTTCTGGTTCAGAGGTAGGGATAGGGCAGCTATGTAGAGCTAAGTGGGAGGGAAAGGAGAAAAGAGGAAATGTCTATATCCTTGATGAGGTCATCTTCTGAGGGCCAGAGGGATGGATGGATAGATAGATAGATAGATAGATAGATAGATAGATAGATAGATAGATAGATAGATAGATAGACAAAATCTTTTTCAGTATACGTATATGTGTATACAATCTTTTTTCAGTGTATGTGTATGCATATATATTCAGTAAAATTTACTTCTGAAATTAAGTGTGATTTAATAAGCATGATATTTCTGAAATGCCATGATCATCTGAGACAAAGATCGAATAGAAATAAAACCCATGATTAGTCCAAGTCAACTCTTTCTCACCGTGAGTTAAAGGTTCGTTCTGATCCCCGGGTGGGCAGGCATCTTCAGCGTGGTGAGTTGGGTGTGTGGACAGGACTGATTTAGGCTGTGAAGCAATCCCTCTGCCGCGCACTCTCTCCCCTGAGCCTTTTCCTGGTGGCTAGTTCCCCTAGCTCTTGCCTGGAGAAGGAAATTGCACCCAGTGACAGCATCTTCCCTCTTTTCTGCTTGCAGAACAATCAACCATGACGACTGAATCAGGATCAGACTCGGAATCCAAGCCGGATCAGGAGGCAGAGCCCCAGGAGGCTGCTGCGGGTCCTCAGGGGCAGGCAGGGGCGCCGCCCGGGCCGCCCGAGCCCCCCAGCGGGAGCAGAGAGGAGGAGCCTGCGCTTGAGCAGTTCTCAGGGGCTGCAGCCCACAGCACCCCAGTGCGGAAGGAGGTGAGCTTGCCCTGGACACAACCAAGGCCCCTTTGCAGACCCCACCTTCACCTTGATCTGTCAACTACAGCTGAGGTGGTCTGCTTGCATGCTACTTAAGCTTTCTGGGAATGACTTTCCCTACCCTTGCTTGGGAAGTCCACCCTTTGATTTAAAAAAAACGTTTAAGCCAGGTGCTGAAGGCTTACCCTGTAATCCTAGCTACTCAGACCGCTGAGATCTGAGAATCAAGGTTCAAAGCCAGCCTAGGTAGGAAAGTCAGTGACTTCCCTCTGATAATCACCTAAAATCCAGAGGTGGAGCTATGGCTCAAAGTGGTAGAAGACTAGCCTTCAGCAAAAATGCTCTAGGACAACACCCAGGCCCTGAGTTCAAGCCCCTAGTACATTCTCTCTCTCTCTCTCTCTCTCTCTCCTCTCTCTCTCACACACACACACACACACACATTCTCTCTGTCTCTGTCTCTGTCTCTGTCTCTGTCTCTGTCTCTCTCTCTCTCTCTCTCTCTCTCTCTCACACACACACACACACCATGAGCTGAACTCTGGACTGGAGGTTTGAATCATGTCTATATTTACCCTGTACATGTTACAGGAAAGATACTCAGAAAGCTGACAGTTTTAATTATGATTCTGACTTTAAGAGTCAGAACTGTTCTGATTTTCCTCAGGCATGATTCTGACCCCAATATTGCCCATCTACTTTTAGTGGATGTTCAGGTAGTCTGTCTCCCACTCTGTGCATCTGTTTTCAGTTCTATTTCCTATAACATGTTTGAGTTGTTATAAGTAACCTATTAATTTTAAAGATTTTCTTTCAAGAGACTGGAATATAGTGGAAGAGTATGTACTTGTGGACTTAGCATGTGAGAGGTCCTGGGTTTGATCACCACCATCATACACAAACACACACACACACACACACACAATACACTTGATCTTAGCCAAAGGGCAGAGAAACGAAACACACACACAATACAAAAGAATAAATTAATGGCTAATACACTTGCCTTGAACGAACCCATGTTTAATTTCATCTTTAAATGCGCCTGCAGTGGAACTTGGAGCTTGAGTTCAGGTTCTGGACACTATCCCTTAGCTTTTTTTGCTCAAAGCTGGTGCTCTATCACTTGTGCCAAACATCTACTTTGGTTTTTGCTGATTAATGAGAAGTACAAGTTTCATGGAATTCCCTGCCTGGGCTGGCTTTAAACCACAATCCTCAGATATCATACTTCTGAGTAACTAAGATTCTAAGTGTAAGCCAGTAGGTGGCTTATTTAAATGTCTTTTGTCTTAAAATTTCAAACGTGGAATTGAAATGTCTTAGAGTCCTAAATTGTACATGGAGAAGAAACCCAGAATCCCTATGAGTGATTGACATGTCGGAGTTCAGAGGATTTGTATTGAGCTTGAAATTTTAGAGGATAATCAAGAGAAGGAACAGTAAATTAGCATATGTGAAAAATCTCAAAGTCAACTCCTTGCTATAATCTCAACACACGGTTATAATACCAAAATATAGCCAAATTATTTCTTTTCCCAAGGCACTTACAAGTTCTGTGCTTTTTTTATTTTATTATTTATTTTTATTGTCAAGGTGATATACAGAGGGGTTTACAGTTACATAACTAAGGTAATAAATACATTTCTTGTTACACTTTTTACCCCTCCCTCATTTTTCTCCTACTTTCCCTCCTCCTCCCCCCCCAAGTTGTACAGATTATTGCCATCATATTTTCTTGTATAGCTGTTGCATTGGCTTCCCCCTTGTCCTTTATCTCACCATTTTGTTGTTCCTCTTTCCTTCCCTAAATCAGATAAAGGTTCTGCTTTTGAATAGTGTCAATAGTCAAAATTATTTTCCCTTTTCTAATCTAAGGGGGCTCATTAATTGCTGAGAACACAATCTCAGCCTTGCAGACAAAATCTAAGGGCTGCTTTTGTTAGCAACATAGTTTTACTTAGCTTTGTCTTTTATGTGGAGTCAAGATGGTAGTATTTAACATTTATATTTGTACATTTATTTCTTTTCATTCGAAAATTTTATGTCTGCCTGGCTTTGTTCATTCATAATTCTGAAAAAAATGAATGAAAATGGGGAACAGTTATGGAAAAGAATGAATATCTTATGCCTACATCTAACTGTATAGAGCCACGTTAACATAAATAAATGCATCATTAGCAATATCATTATTATGTGGGTATTACAGGTTGTACATTTACAGCACAGATGCTATACCTAAGTACTGGCCTAGGCATGTATAGCAAGCCATGGACATATGCTTATAAACATAGGCAAACATATTAATATAGTAAAATATATACACTGTATGTATGTGAATATCTACATATCTATATCTATCTCTCATATAAAATTGATCTTACAGTCATGTTGAACAGAACTATATGAGATTGACATTAAATGAGACAGAAAATGAGCCATGAAAAGACATCTTCAGCACTTGATGGGGGTTGCTGCTGTTAACCTCATTGTTAGATTTACAGTAAATGTCTCTTAGAAGCATACTCTAAAATAATCTTATTAGCACAGTATAGTAACTACATAAACCAGTAACAGGATTGCTTATTATCTGTACGTGCTTATATGTTCTATTCGTTTGTGTGTACGTGTGCCAGTTCTGAGGCTTAAACTCAGGGCACTGTCCCTGAACTTCTACCACTTGAGCCCCAGCTCTACTTCTGGACTTTTTTGTAGTTTAATGGAGGCAAGAGTCACACAGACTTTCCTTTCCAGGCTGGCTTTGAACTGCAATCCTCAGATCTCAGCCTTCTGAGTAGCTAGGATTACAGCTGTGAGCCACTGGTGCCTGGCTTATGTGCTATACTTTCATATGACTGGAATGTAGTCGGTTTGTTGACACTAGCTACCACCACAAGCAATGAAAAGTTCAGTGCTGTATGATGTCACAATGGCTATGACATCAGCAGGTAGTAGGAATTTTTCAGCTCTATTATAATCTTAAGAAACCATCATCATGTGTGTAGTCTGTGACTAAAATGTTATAGGGTCAATGACTTTGGTCTAAATCTCCTATAGTCAGATGTTTAGAACCCCAACTGGAGAAATGACACTAAGGCACAGAGAAGAAGGCACCCGGCCACACAGGGCTGAGGCCTAAGTTAGTACTGTTTTCTGATCACCGCCAGCCTCAAAGGACGCCCGTGGCCTACTGGCCTCACATTTTTCCATCTACAAAATGAAGAACACAGAAACTCAACTCAGAAGAACTCAGATCATTTCTAAGAGTCTTCCATAAAGTTCTTGGCCTCATACCAGGAAAGCCATTTGTGTTGGAGGTAACATGGAGTGTGTTTTGGTACTTTGTCTACAGGAATGTTTGAAACATGGGTTTCGCTGGATTTGAAGTCTAGGCGACTGCTGTTGTGACCTTAGGAAAGTTTTGTATGCTTCCTGATTCTATCTGTCCTCATACATATAACAGCTGCAGTGAAGACTGAAGGAAAGAGACGATTGGCTAAAATGGCTAATTTTGATATATTTTTAAATTACAGTGTACAAATGACTATGGCTGAGATTTAACTTGAGGTACTCTCTAGTCTTCTAGAGCTGTTAAAGTTATTTTTAAATGTGTTATATGCCGAAGTAGTAACTCTCTCTTTCAGATGTTTCCAGAATAGACTTTTCCATTGAGTAATAATGGCATAAGATCCTTCTGCAAAAAAAAAAAAGTAACCTAGAAAGTTTATTCTCAAACACTTTTTTTATTTTTTTTTGTAGAGGAGAAATGAAATTTCATCTTCCCTAATACATAGAAAAAATTTGATTCCAGGTAAAATTTAAATAAAAGTATACTTTCAGTTGGCTTGCCCTCTAACATTTATTATGATTATTGATCCATAATTCCAGAGTTAGAAAACTCTTCTTTAAATCACCTCTAGGCCACAATCTATTATTTTCTTGCTTTTTTGTTTAATTTTTAATGCTTTTGTATGGAAAGAATAATTATGAAAACAGTTTGGATAAAATTCCAGAGCAGGTTTTCTTTGGTTCATTGACTTATTTAAATTGAAGCTTACCTTCCCAGCTACTTTGGCCTTTCACATTGATTATTCACAGTTTCGTTGTTGTTGTTTTGGTTTTGGTTTTTTGAGACAGGAGCTCAATATGCAGTCCAGGCTGGCTTTAAACTACTCAATTTCTTACTGCCTCACCTGTGATCACAGGCATGTGCTATGATACTTCCCAGCTGTTCAGTTATTTTCTTGATTTGTTTCTATAAGCTCATCAGATTGATCTATTAAGAACATCAAGACTTTGCCTAGAGTTCCTAGACATTGTAGTAGAGAGAAAAGCTTACAGAATAGCTTATTATTAATATTTGGGATTATCTAAAATCTAAAAGGAAAACACCCAAAATGACTGTGGTTATAAGACAGTAGAGTTGAATAAGAAAAACAAGTTGAGATGATAAAACATATGTAGTGCCTTTTTTAAAGATCCCTAGCATTGGGGCTAGGAAGGTAGCTCAGTGGCAGAGTGCTTTCCTTGCATGCATGAGGCCCTGGGTTCGATTCCTCAGCACCACATAAGCAAAAAGAAAAAAAGCCAGAAGCGGTGCTGTGGCTCAAGTGGTAGAGCGCTAGCCTTGAGCTGAAGAGCTGAGGTACAGCGCCCAGGCCTCACGACCAGACCCAAAAAAGATCCCTAGCATTTTTGTCTTGAGGCCTAGAGTATATTCATGTGAGAGGAAATTTCATGGCTATTTCAGGGCCCTCTACCTAAATTATTAATATGCCTCTAAATATTAGTATTTTAAAATATTAGTATTCTGTGGCCTAATTTAAAATATAATTAAAAATAAAATATTAGTGTTCTGTGGCCTATACCTAAAATATTAGTATTTTAAAATATTAGTATTGTGGCCTGTCAATACAGATATGCATACTAGTAGATATGGTAGCCATGTATTACATTTGCATTGCCACTGTTGTGGTCATTAAATGGAGGAGTGTAGAAAAATAATTGGAGAGCAACACACAGGAAGATTACAAGGAGAGTGACTCCAGGGAGAATTTCACAGTGACATAGGAAGTTCTCTGTAGTATTGAGGCTGGCCTGGACTAGACTGTTGTGATTCAAAGGCAGCTTAAAGTTTTTAGAGAGATTTGGTCTGTTCTCCTCCTGGCTCATTACAACAAAAGAAAACAGACTTAGGGGATTACTTGGTGAAGAATTTTACTGCTGCTTTCATTGAATTGATGTAGAACTAAATCAAATATTTTAACAGTTGTAAAATTACTGGAGAGATTAATACTTGGAAGCTTTCTAAAGCCTTTAAGTTTATAAGATAAACTTGTAAGTTTATGGATAGAGCATATAGAACAAGTCAAGGAATGTAGACAGGTCCAATGAATCATGAAAATAATATACCTAAGACAAGATCCAGATGCTTTGTTTTAAAGGCCTGGACTATCCAATGCCTTTAAAAATCCAAAAGGCTATTCTTCCTTCTTTGCTTAGTGAACTCTTGATAGCAAATGCTATCTAAAATTAATCCCAAGTCAAACTGAAATAAGGCCCTATTGGTTCATTTAAATGGCCAAAGTTGTCTGGGTGAGACATATTATAAAATACTTGTGTATGGCAGGGCACTGTGGCTAGCACCTGTAATTCCAGCTATGTAGGAAGCTGAAATCTGAGGACTGTGGTTCAAAGCCAGCCCCAGATAGAAAAGTACAATTAACCAGCAAAAAGCTGGAAGTGAAGCTGTGGCCTAAGTAATAGAGCACCAGCCTTAAATGAAAAAGCAAAGCAAGAGTGTGAGACCCTGAGTTCAAGCCCCACTATTTGGCACGTGCATGTGTGCGTGCATGCGTGCACACACACACACACACACAATCATATATATAGATGGAGATATAGATTCCTGATGTGCTGTTCAGATGCTTCTCATCCTCTAGGAAAGAGGAAAACAGTCTCTCTCTCAAGTGTTGTGCCTTTGTATGAGCAATGCAATATTTATTTCCTGTCTTGCAGTAAAAACTGCTCATTGTTGCTTTTACCAGGTCACTGACAAGGAACGGGAGTTTGCTGCTGCTGCTGCAAAACAACTCGAGTATCAGCAATTGGAAGACGATAAACTTTCTCAGAAATCATCTAGCAGCAAACTCTCCCGGTCTCCACTGAAGATCGTCAAAAAGCCTAAAAGCATGCAGTGCAAAGTAATACTTTTGGATGGATCCGAATATACCTGTGATGTGGAGGTAAGGGTGTGTTTTAAAACTTCAGGGCTGCAGATATATTGAGCTGGGGAATGTCGGGAGAAAACATACAAGATGACTCTTGATTCTTTTTCCAGACCTCTGGAAAATTTTTCAGCTCTAGTCTGTAAATATAGAATTATTTCCAACAGGAGAGCAAATTACTAAAACTATTTTAACAGGAGAGCAAATTACTAAAACTATGTATAGTGCACCAAAATTTAGAATAGGTCTTTACGTATTGGAAAAAAAATTAAGATGGAATTTCTTAACACTTTCCAGGACAGGAACAAAAATGGAGGATTATTCTTTCTGTGTAAATTCTTTAAATATGGTTGGCTATGGGCTCATTTTGACAATAACCATGTATTTCTCTTGTTTAGGGCATGAGTACTTTTTTAAGTGGCTGTAGAGCTTCTATGTCAAAGGCTTTAGCTCTCTCTCTGTTTATTTGAAAAGAAAAGCAAAATTCCAGTGGGAGAAAGGACAGTTGGGTGATTTTTGTCAGAGATGTTAGCAAGATCAGGTTATCAAAAAGAGCAACACTGCCTGTCAGTAGCTACAGTTGGATGTTGTATGGGTCTCTGAGTGTCATGCAATAGCCATGCACATAAACTGGCACTCTGGAGGAGGTCTGTGGGCATCCTGAAGGCATAACTTGCTCATTCTTCCTTCCTCCAGCCCCTATCCTTGTTTCCCAGAAAGGGAGTCACATGTCTACCACACCAGCCCCTCCCTGCAGGCTTCCACAGTCTTTTGTTCCCTGACAGCTAATGACGTTGAAGTAATCTGTCATTCACCATGGTCAGAGCACCTGTGTGTGTGTGGCCACAATTTCTATTCTTCTTTCCTCTTAACAGCCATCACCGAGCCATCTGGTTTTCCTTCATCTGCCTCCACTTTCTCCTTCTTAAAACCCTCCTAGTGTTCCGCATGTATTTTGTATATTACCCGTATGCCCAGTGCCTTTCTTGTAATAGAAGATTCAAATATGTTTCATATGGATAGTGTCATCCAGGATAAGGGTAAGGAATGGGCTACTAGCTTATTATAGATTGAAGCAACATAGAAATTTTTTTAATAAATTCTTATCTCAAAATTTATTTAATCTAACCAGGCACCAGTGGCTCCCATCTGTATTCCTAGTTAACTGAGAAGGCAGAGATCTGAGGATTGTGGTTCAAAGCCACTCTGGCAGGAAAGCTATAAGACTTTTATCTTCAGTTATCTAGAAAAATAAAAGCTGAAAATGGAAGTATTGCTCAAGTAGTAAAGGCCAGCCTTGAGAAAGCTAAGGGACAGCCCTATGCCTTGAATTCAAGCTGCAGTACTAATATATAAACACACACACACACACACACACACACACACACACACACTTATGTAATCTAGTTTGGTTTGAGTGATAAACCTATCCAAAGCATTTCAAACTACACATATAGGCTGGGCAATGGTAGGTCACATAGTCCTAAGCTACTCAGAAGACTGAGATCTGAGGATCACATTTTGACGCTAAGCCTGAATGGCTCAAAGTGATAGAGCAATAGCCTTGAGCAAAAGAGCTCAGTGACAGCACACAGGGCCTGAGTCAAGCCCCATGACTAACAAAAAAAATGCACATAGAGGATGTCTTGACTCTATGAAAAAAATGCAGACTGAATACCCACATAAAATATAATAAAATTCGCAAAGAAAATAAAGTAAAAATAAAATTATTTAATCTGTCTTATGCTGACTTGTAGAATCATCCTATAGCCTAAAGATGTTAGTTTTTTTTCCTTTTAATAAAATACTTCTGTTAAGCCTGGCGCTGGTGGCTCATGCCTGTAATCCTAGCTACTTAGGAGGCTGAGATCTGAGGATTGCAATTCAAAGCCAGTCCAGGCAGGAACATCCATGAGACTCTTATCTCCAATTAAATACCAGAAAACCAAAAGTGGTACTGTGGCTTAAAGTGATAGAGTGTAGCTTTGAGTGGAAAAAAAAACTAAGGGACTGAGTTCAAGCCCCACAACCAACAATAACAAAAATAAAAAATTGTTAATCAGATATAAAACACGTTTTGATATTAAAAAAACTACAGAACACAGTGAGAATATTTTCAGACATTGATAGTAGATTAAAAACAGTGTACTTGATGCTGACAATTTTGTGGAGACAATTATGTGGAGAAGATAAGGAAATTTAAATGTGGTAAAGTTCAGTGGACTCATTTGGTGCTGATTGTTTGAAAAAGAAAAAGTTGTCAGTCAAAGTAGGTGTGGGTGGCTCACTCTTGTAATGCTCACTCAGGAGGCTGAGTCCTGAAGATCAGGATTTGAAACAAGCCAGTGCAGAAAAGTACTGGATTTCATTTCAACCAGCAAAAATGCAGGACTAGAGGCCTGGCTCAAATGGTAGAGCACCAGCCATGAGCAAGAAAGCCAAGTAAGAGCTGTGGTGTTGCTTCTGAGGTGGCAATGAGATGCTAGTTGAAAATGTCTCTTCTCTTTTGGCATATACTTTAGAAAGTAAAGCTTGGCTGGAATGTATACATGGCACATTCTAGATAAATAGACTTAAAACACATATCTTTTTGTTTTGCTTGGTTTTGTCTCAGTACATGCGCTTGGACACAGGGCTTCAGGCTCACTTGGGCTTTCTTGCTCGGATCTGGAGCTCTACCACTTGGGTTATGCCTGCAGCCCAGCTTTTGCTAATTAAAGATGGAATTTTGCAGACTCTTTTGCCCAGGCTGGCTTTGAATTAAGGTCTTCCAAGTCTCCACCTCCTGAGTAGATAAGATTACAGACACTGGCACCTGGCTAAGAAGTCAGATTTTAATAAACATAAAAAACATGTTTTAACCAGGAGCTGGTGGCTTATGCCTGTAATAATAGCTACTCAGGAGGCTGAGATCTGAGGATCTCTGTTGAAAGCCAGCCTGGGCAGAAAAGTCCCCATGAGACTCTTATCTGGAATGAACCACTCAAAAACCAGAAGTGAAGCCGAGTCTCAAAATGGTAAAATAGTAGGCCCTGAGTTCAAGCTTCCTAACCACCACCATCAACAACAGTAATAACAAAACAAAAATAAATTTGTGTGTGTGTGTGTGTGTGTTTTAGATGTTAATCTTGAGACCATGTATACTTTGTAATAAGAAGAATCTCAGGAGGAATTGTAGGGGCACTTAGGGAGGCCACCTGATTTTCAGGTGCTCCTTGACAGTTTCCATGGCCTGTTCCTACTTGTGGCATGAAAAGACTCAGATACTTAGACATACTGGAAGCAGCAGCATTACAGGTTAATCCCTTTTCCCAGTGCCTGTAGTTGGAGGGGAATTAAGAGCAGAATGACGGGGGCAGCAACAGGCGGAACTCTTCTACAAATTTAATAAGGCATCCCAGAGAATTTTCTTTTAATGAACTCGTGATGATTTCTCCCATGACTTGCTTAATGCCTTCATTATTGCACCCTCAAAATGAATGAGGCTCAGCTGTGCCATGAGGCTCAGCTCTGCTCTTAATTGTGATAATTTGCGTCATCTCTGAAAGGGCCCCTTCCAGTACAAGGTAGCATTTCCCCTGGCCCAGCAGTGTCTCTGCAGAAGAGACCCAGTGACCCAGAAAAGCGCCATATAAGGCGCAGTTTTCTGAAAGCAATGACTGGATACAATCCAGCTGTTCAGTTCCTGCCTGTCCCCCTCCCATTTTTTGGTTGGTGGTGTTGCCTTTTTTATGTTTTTTTTATTGTAAAAATAGTATACAGAGGCGTTTCAGTTACATGAGTAAGGTAATGAGTACATTTCCTATCAAGCATTGTTACCTCCTGCTTTGTTTTCCCCTACCATCCCTTTCTGTCCCACTACCCCAATCCTCCCTCCCCCCGCCATTGTCAAGTTCATTTTCATTATAGTGTCTTATAGTGTCTTGTACATTAGACACCGAAGTCAAATACAGTGAAAACAGGGGTTAAATCATGGGGGAAGAATATATAAGAGAAACAAAAAAATCACGTAGTACATTTTAGATACCTTAAAAAAAATAGCAAGAAAAAAAAACAAGTTGTGTCCCTATCTTGGGGTTCATTTCACTGAACATCATCTTACATGGTCATATGTATATAGTTTTTGTCCTTTTCTGATTGCCAGTTATTGCAAATAAGGGAAACCATGGGACCCATGTTTCTTTGGGCCTGGCTTACTTCACTTAATATAATTTTTTCCAAGTCTTTCCATTTCCTAACAAATAGGGCAATGTCATTCTTTCTGATGGAGGCATAGAACTCCATATATCACATTTTCTTGATCCATTCATCTACTGATGGGCATCTGGGTTGGTTCCATATCTTAGCTATGGTAAATAAATATAGTTGTGCTGGTAGCTTTAGTATAGCCTTGTTTGTGATCGTTTGGGTAAATGCCTAAAAGTGGGGTTGCTGGGTCATAGGGGAGCTCTATGTGGAGTCTTTGGAGTAACTTCTATATTGCTTTCCAAAGTGGTTGAACAAGTTTGCATTCCCACCAACAATGCAGTAGGGTTCCCTTTTGGCCACATCCCCTCCAGCATCTGTTGTTATTAGAGTTCTTCGTTATAGACATTCTAACTGGGGTGAGGGGGAATCTCAATGTTGTTTTGACTTGCATTTCTTCTATGGCTAGAGAAGTTGAGCATTTTTTCATGTGTCTATTGGCCATTCTTATTTCCCCTTCAGAGAAGTTTCTCTTATTTATTTAGCCCACTTATTTATTGGGCAGTTGTTTCTTTGAGGATTTGTTGTTGGAGAATTTAATTTTTTGAGTTCCAGGTATATTTTAGATATAAGACCCTTGTCCGTTGTATGGCTAGTGAAGATCTTCTCCCAATTCATGGGTTTTCTATTGATCTTGCTAGCTATGTCCTTTGCCATGCAGAAGCTCTGAAACTTCATGCAATCCCATTTGTCCAACCATTCTTTGATTTGTTGTGTTTCTGGGTCTCTATTAAGAAAATTTCAGCCTGTGCCAAGGAGCCCTAGAGTTTCTC